CTTCTATTATTTGTTAGTAAAGTTCTATAGCCAGGAAATGATCTTTCTACGTTTACCAATGTGATTGGAGCATATTTAAAATATGTCAGATCATTAATATCCTAGCCTTTCATGTCAATTAATTCACTGTTATGAATATTTTTAATTTTCTTTACCATAACAAGACCAATATTTTTCTTCAATACATTTTCCATCTCTGTACAAATATTTTTCCTAGTTATCTCAGTAAGACGTTTCATAGCATTAAAAATTGATTTACTAGTAAATAATCAAAAATCATTTTAAAATATGCAATAAAAATCAATAAATCTTAAAAATATGCACAATAAACTTTTAAACTTTAACTCCAAATACCACAACACAAATTTGTAGCAGATCAGATTTATTCTATTTATTTCCCGAACAAATATGCATATGCATAAGTCCCGAGCCCTGGTTATTACTTATTAGTAGTGTGTCGTTGTAAGYCACTGTACACGCCGTCATAATTWATCAATTTATAACCAGGTTTGAGATTTTATAGCACTTAAAACTRCATAAATATGTGCTTTAATATTACCTTAAACATCGCTAAATATTGTAATWAAAAAAAAGCATGCAAAAGAARGAAATTTATWAGGCAATTAATTAAAAAAGTAATTAATGAAAAGTTATTACTTTTCAATCACTTAGTTACAATTGAGTATTGACTATACAACGCATTCAAMGCTCGTTCGTTGATAATTGGTGATTAATAATTATAGTAGAAATCGACAAAAAACTCAACAAATCAGCWGATAACATAAATTAGAATCAAGTACTTTATACGAAATTATCGTGATATTATATTATACCTATATATTTTCGCTGTAATTGTACGGCGTTGAATCAGCTTAATCGGTCTATATATTCACTTAATCTATACCTGCATTTATAATTTATCTGATTATTCGATTGACATGAATCTAAAAAAACCTAAATCTAATATCTAAATTTTTAATTTAAGTTCTTTGTATCATGAAACACATTTTAAGCGTACTCTGTTGCTATTTTTTAAGCATCTCATTATCAGAAATATATGCAAATRCCATAAAAACCCAACCGCCTGCTTAAAACATTTAATAACAATTGCGCCGATAAGACGGCAAAGACGTCCAAGGCTGCAGGTGAGAGCGTCTATTTTTTTTTTTGATTTTATCATTAAGAGGACGCTACACGACCGTTTGTTGTCTCCATCTTACAAGTGCATAATATTGCAAATTTACGCTCAGCAGATTTAGCTCCGTTAGTTTAAAAATTATAGTGAATCGACCTGTCATGAAACTTGATGTTAAGAACATTATTTGTGTTTGCATGTGGGTTGTTATACGGTAGTTCAGTTTTGTAGTAAGTTATGCGTACATAAAAAACGTAAATTAAAAATGATCATAACTCACTTGAAAACCAAGTTGTCGTAATCAAGTTTCATAACCGGTCGATTCACTCTAATTTTCAAACTAACGGAATTAAACTTGATCTRCGTAAATTATTTTAGTCGTGTTACGCACTTKTAAGACGGAGACAACAAATACGTGCGTAGCGCCCTTTTAAATCGAATAGAAAACAATATTTGCGATCTCGGTTCGAATTGCCCGCGGACACGGTCGATTTTGTCGGTATACCGYATACACATCGCGGTATCATTTGTACGGTACATGGCGGCGGCCGGCGTTCATCGTCGACATCGCGCGATGTTGACCTGCGTCATCATCCGTGTGTGGTTTTCGACGAACGAATGAGTGTTTATTCTCCAGACGTTTGACGAACGGCGCGTGCACAGATTCGTTTCGTTTCGCGATCGTAATATTAAAACAATAATTTATTGTTATCAGCCAAGGCCTAACGCGTCGTTGAATCGGTCGTCGTCGTCGTCGCAAACACGATGGACATTCTGTTGGTTTGCTATCTGTGCACCGCGAAAAGTTTCTTGCGCCAGTACCGGTGGCACTTGACGTTCGCCGTCGCGGCGTCCGTCCTGGGCTACCTGGTCGGCGCTTGTTTTTGCGGCTCGTCGCTAATGTCGTTCGTGTCCGACACGACCGGCCTGTCCACGGCCACCCCCGCACCGCTGTCGTCCGCCGAATATTGGCACGAGATCCAGAACAAGGTCGACCAGATGGCCCGCGACCTCCGAGTGCTCCAGTCGTACGTGAACACGGGCCGACAGATTTTTCGCGTCACCGACGCCGCGAAGAGTACCCGATAAGAGGCGGCCGACGAGCGTTCTTCCGTCGTAGTCGTTGTTTTTGTTTTCATTATCGTCTCAACAATTTTAATATTATATTACGTTCATTATCATTGTATAYCTAATATCTAATAAACACGATGTATACTATTGTTGTAAAAATACGAATGCATTTYATGACGTCATAATACATCATCACGTTTTCCAGAGGCGTGTGTCGTGCAAGATCAACAATTTCAAGACACAGGCCCGGATACAAGAATAGTGATAACTGAAGGGTCCGGTGGCGTAGTTATGGGTAGTGGTGATGGTGTGGATAGATCCCCCCCAGAGCCTTTTTTAAAATGTTTAATGCAAAGACCAGTGCGTGCGGCTCGTCAGGGGAATCTTTGAGACGGCGACTCCCCATAATAAAAAGTAGTAACAAAACACAAAAGTTTGAAGAATGTTGTATTATAATTTAATATTTTTATCCATTTAAAAAATAATAATTATGGTTTTCGATATTAAAATTTACAATATAATATTTGTTTTCTATTTTTACATCGATAACAATGACGGTCGCTAATTCGRGAATCTGCCGTTTAAGAGACTCAATTGTGTATCCAAATTTCATATGTACGACAAAGCTGAGGAGAAGGGTAGATTGTATAGATGTTATTCAGTACATTGAGACTAGACTCATTCAAAGTTTCTGCCGTTCGCATCGCAGTCGTCACGTACTTTTCAGTTAACACCTAAAATCTACAGCGTGTCGTACTGTCGTGCGTCCGTTTATTTGACGATTGAATTTAGTTATTCCACATTGTATCGTCCTGTGTAGTAATGATATTATTATTATTTATTATTGGTATAATACACAAGTCACAAACTTGATTATGATATTATAAATTGTCAGTCTCCCCAATGAATTTAATTGCGACCCGTCACTGGCATTGACCTATTGGTATACTTGATATACGGTTATTTGATTATAAAAGTACCAAGGTTCTCAAATTATGTCTGTCGCCTATCATAGTATCACACACATCCAATAAATTATATTTCCCCCTACCCCAAGAACAAAATCATAACTACGCCACTGGACGTGTCTGGTTATTCAAAGGGTACAACATCCGTTTTTCGTGAAAAATGAAACGGATGTCGTGTGCCGTATGAAATTTTTATCTCCGAATTCGAATAGAACACTGTTGTCGAGTAAAATGGTCAAACTCTATCAGTGTATTTTTAAACTTGAAAATTACAATTAGTGTAGGTAGGTATTAAAAAACGCACAATCTCCTTTGACAAGTGTATTTCATGCCATACGGTTGTTTTTTTGAAAATATTTAACGAACATRGATATTGTACTAGACACATTGAAACTGGACTCCTCAATTGTTTGTAGTAGAAGAGTTCCTAATGCACATATTTTTTTTTTTAATTTTTAATACATTTTTTAAAATAGGAAGACATGATAATTGAAATAACTTTTGTTCTAATCAACATTTTTTTTTTGTACATTACAAAAACTTGCAACACTTTTCAATGCCTTATACTCGTATGGTATAACATTTAATTAAAATTTTTTTTTAATATTAAAAATAAATTAAGTTTAAATCTGGTAAAYATTTTTTTGAAAAATTCAATTTAGCCAATTTTTAAACCTTGTTTTGTATAAATATTTATTCATGTCATGTATAGGTACTTAGTTTGTTTCTTGCGAATTTTTGAAATGTTATTATTTTTTGCTAAATTAAGTTGATCTAGTTGAAAAAACTAATTAATAATTATAAATTCAATAGTTAAGTAAAAACGTTATAAAAATAATTTATAATAATTTTTGAACAGGAACTTGTTAAAATCTAAATATTTTTTTAAATTGACTTAAATAGATGTTTTTAGAATTAACAGTTACCTAAAACCAGGTCTACATATTAGCTATTTCAATTTTTTCAAAACAATTTTAATCAGTTTTTCAGTACCTAYTAAAAAATATTAATTAGAATAACCAGTATTACGATCATGGGTTACACTCTCCGATCAGTGTTTAACAAAAATAATGAAAAAATGTCTATTATATTAATATCTAAGTGTCTAAGCATCTACCAGAAAAATAATGTTTTATTCTTAAGTACGTCGTACACGGAAATAAACAATAGAGGCATGGGTTTTTTCAACTGACCAATTAATCTGATACAATTTCTAAAAAAATATTAGAATATTTCATGAAATTTAGGTACCTACTTTCTACTAACAGGAGTTAAAGTGGCTCAAAATACAGAAA